AAAGCTTCCTGCAGATTTTGAGGGAAAACTACTAACATTTCAGCGGTATGTCATCACACTTCGGAAGGAAAAGAATTTTTCAATGGGGCAAATTGGCAACGCTGACGAGACGGCAATTTGGTTTGATATGCCTCGTAACTACACCATTACGGAGAAAGGGGACTAAGGAAGTTATCATCAAAACTTCGGGATGTGAAAAACAACGCGTAACAGTGATGCTGGCAATAACAGCAGACGGGTGCAAACTTCCCCCTTTCTTAATCTTCAAACGGAAAACATGCCCTAAAACCCCTAAGAATGAAAAGCTGTTCCCAGATGATGTCCTGATTCGAAACCAAGAGAAGGGGTGGATGACGGAATCATTAATGCTTGATTGGCTCCGAAATGTATGGAAACGCCGTCCCGGTGGGCTCTCTAATCCACCATCAATGCTTTGTCTGGACGCATTTCGTGGTCATCTCACCGACGACGTAAAAAAGAAGATGCACAGCCTAGGCAGTGATCTTGTTATCATTCCTGGAGGGATGACGTCTGTGTTACAACCCCTGGACGTTAGTATAAATAAACCTTTTAAGGGCTACGTTCAGGCGGAGTACGAAAAATGGTTTGTGAGCCAAACCGTGTATTGACCCCCCCGACAGGAAAAAATTAAGCGTGCTGCACCGCGCACATTGTTGCACACTGCACTGGGTTTCTGCTGCCTGGAAAAGCATCGAAGCACCAATGATTGTGAAATCTTTCAAGAAATGCTGCATTTCAAATTCATTGAATGGCAGTGACGATGACGTGCTCTGGAACGCCGAGGATGACGATGACGATGATGAGGAAAGAAGAAATGAATCTGCTTCTGACGAAGAGAGAGCTGCGAGGATTCCAGTGATGAAAACATTAGTGAATAAAGACGTTTACTATTAATCACTGATTGTAGAAACTGTTAGCTAGATAGAAATGTTACGATTTATTTCATGTTCATATTTTACGATAGGTACCGTATATACGGTAGTGCTAATTAACAATGATTGTTTCACATGACAATAGCCCACTAATAGGTTAATTCTATGTTCTGCTACTTTATGTATAAATCCATTGTTGTATAAAATATGGTATCTAAATTTAAATAAAATTATCATACCATTAATTGATAGTTTATATACAAATCCATTGTTGTATAAAATAAGATTCAATAAATTCCTCATATCATTGATGCGCATTACATTCGCCGACAAACAATTTTTTTATTATTTAAAGTTTTAAAATGGGGATGCGCATTAGATTCGATAAACGGACTTCAATTCCAAAAATTTTAAAATAAAATCCCCAAAAATATAATTAAAACAAAACATTTCATTAACCAAAAATTGAAAAAAAAATATTTCACTTACCTGAAAAGGAGTAACACTGCGCCAGACGAAAAACGATTCTGAATGTTCTTGAATTATTGTTTAAAATAACTGCACCTCTACCATCTATTATTGTCTACACCAATCAGAAATTCTAAAATATATACTGAGCATGCACAAAAATGTTCCAAATTTCATGCTCAAAAGAAATTCTCAATTAAAAATACATACTGGACATGCACGAAAATGCTCTGAAATTCGCCTTCCAGAACGGCAAAATCGACTTGGATACCAATTGGTGCATTTATCAATCTCGTAAAAAGTGCCAAACACAATGCCAAATAAGTGGGCGATTCTGCACTTTAGCCAGAATTATTATGTAATATGGGCATTTACAATGGGTCATTTAACCTCTGACCTTTCAAAGGCGTTATGAAAATATTTTCCCAGTTATAAATCAGTTTTGTGAAAACATCACTACTGGCACAATTTGAAACTTGGTTCTCCTTACCAACAGCAGAAAGGGCAACAATAACATCAATCATCTAAACCAAGGTAATAAAAGGCTCATTCACAATTTAGTTAACCAGTTTTCTCATACTTTTAAATATGAACAGAATAAAAAAAAAAAAAAAACACCTTTATTGTTGTTAAGCATTGATATCCCAGTTAAGCACCTTCCCCATCCAAAATTGATAAATAATACTTAACTGGGATGAAGACAAATAAAAAGATACTGCCTTTCTCCTTATAGCATTATTATCACTTAATACACACACAACTTTAAACTGTGTTAATATACCATCTAGTAGTTGGTATGTAAACCAATTACTGTTTTCTTTAAAGCCGTAAAAAGGTCTTCAGCTTGGATTCTATTAATGGGCACTATAGGTACTTTAAATGATGTGAATCAACTTTGTATCATAAATGCATATGCTGATTTTGCAACACCTTCACTGTTATATGCCATAGCAATAACTTTTCCTCCCTTATAATCTACGTATGGTTTTGAACGTATTCCATCCAAATTTAATATTTGTAATGCCCAAAATTAATGTCAATAAAATCTTCTGAATTCAAGTCATTTACTTTTTGAATCAGACTGCTCTTTAATGGGGTTAGTATTAAATTGTTCTTGGATGTGGGATAATGATGTTTCATGAACTTCTAAAAAATACATAAGCATGGGGAGTAATTGGATATAAAATAATGAAGAAAGCATATACAGTCAAAAGTCGTTAATTCGGACACCCATAATCCGGAATGATCTATAATCCGGACCTCAAAGCCAAAAACTTTGCGCATGCTCCGCGTTGACACATGCGCATAGGCGTTTACGCGTGCGCGTAAGACCATTTACCACTGTGCATATGCGTGTGCGCAAGCACAGAATACGTTTTCGCGTGCGCGTTTTATGTATAACGGACGGTATAATCTAAAATTATCTAATTATCTATTTCAGTTAATGTTGATGATTGCGTTGTTCCTTAATCTTCGAATTGGATCCGGCTTATTATTTTTTGCAGACTGTAAGAGCAATTTTATAAAAGTAAACTTGAACTTTCGATTATGTCAAATAGAATTTCAGATTCTGGAGCTCCCAAAGGATCGTACAAAACGAAAGTATGTTTCGATGTCCATCAAACAAAAAGTGGAATTGGTGCAAAAAATGGGTAAAGACATGAAGAATGTGACAGAGAGGTTTGTGAAAACGAAAAAATTTCGATTGACAAGTTAGTCGGTAATCTCGGCACAACAATTAACGGGACTTGAACAGCGGGACTTTGTAACTGAAAAAGAAATTGTGTCTGTTTATAGAATTAAAGAGAAAGTATTATCACATAAAACGAAGCAACTTAAAACAACTTACATTGAAAGAAATGTTTAATAAAGTAAACAAATAAATATTAAGCTTTTTTTTTTTTTTTTTTTTTTTTTTTGTAAATTTTGATACTCTTTAGAGTATAATTGTTCTTTATTTCATAAATTAAGGTTTCATATTTTTAATTTTAGAATTTCTGCATGCCATCTTACAAGATTTGAAATGATGATCTATAATCCGGAAAAATCGATAACCTGGAATCGCTGAAGTCCCGACGAGTCCGGATTAACGACTTTTGACTGTATATGTGATGAATAACACATGTGTTCCTTTCTACAAATAAGATTTGAGTTCTTATACAATGACTTACACTTTTCTCTGTTTATCACCATCATTATTATCAACAGTTGTCTTTCAGTGGTTTAAAAATATTCAATACGAAAATGGTTAATCTTTGGATTATGGTAACTTGGCGATTTTTTGGCGACCAACCCTGCTACAGCAACCTGCTAGTTTTTGTTTGGACGCCATTTTCTTTTCACGAAGTAAAAGCATTTTGGTACTTTTCCATTTTGCCGGCGCAAACGATAAAGTCGCCAAAAATGGTACAACCGACGCCAAACAGAATTTCCTTGCTGGTAACCTTTTACGCCTCATTTTCAAAACAAATCGCAGCCATTTCATATCAGATTGATTGTTTCTTTCAATACTGGCATACAGTTACATAGAAATTTTACCAGATAGTTCAATTTTATGCCCTAAGGCCATTCACAGTGATTAAGTCATATAGGATGCAATCACACCGCTTACCCGAAGCCGAAAATATAGAAAAGGCAAAGTTGAGGATTAAATTCATCAATTCTAATGAGAATGCACTATTCAAGTAAAGCAATGTGGTTTCACATAATTTATGAGTAAGCTATTCGTACAAATTGAAATAATTCTTGCATTAAATTTGTAATCCAGATTAAGATTTACACTGAAATTAATGTAGATAATTACTGACAGAATTAGATTTTTGTAGCGTAGTTTACGTGAGCACTTGGGGTCATGTGATATGAAATGGCAAATCAGGATGTAGTACCATGAAAGCATAGTAAATTCTTAAATTAGTGTCTTTTTACAAAATTTTAAATGACATTAAAATGTTTATGCCTTCAAAATAAAAATTTCTTGGAACTAACATTTGTTAACATTATTTATGTGTATATTATGTGTTGTTGCTAATAAAATCTGCTTGGCGAGATTTGCGCCGGCAAAACGGAAAAGTACCGGCATTTTTTTTTTTTTACTCAACATTTTTTTTTTCCAACAATCTGCTAGCCGAATTACACTTATGCTAGAACTTTTATGGAACAAGTGCTTAATCATGCCGAAGATTAGGTGCGAAATTGGGAGAAAGTGCAGAATCGCAAACTGCTTCCCGCGTTTTTAAGAATTGCACATACACGGTACCCATGTACACGTCGACCTATTTTCACTTTAAAAAAATCCCAGAATTGCACAAAAATGGTATTGTGCACACTCTTGACTTTATCCATGTACACTGCTAAAGTCCCAGCTAGTAACCTTTATCGCCTTACCAAAATGTCGCCAAAGTACCTGTTACCATATTCCAAAGATTAGCCCAAAAATCTAAAAAAAAAAAAAAAAAGTTGAAACATCAGGCATGTTCTTAGATTTTATGGATGAGAATGATTAAGAAAGGGAGTAAAAATATTTTTTCTAGTCATAAATTTCCTTAGGGGTTAGACTTGCAGCACATGGGAGTAATAAATTGTTTCTATCAATTCAAACTCTCCTATTATCAGTACTTTCTCTAAAAGTTGAAGATTTACCTGACAAATATTTTGGGCAGCCAAGCAGTTGTAAATGCACTGCATCCTTTCGAAGCCTTGAAGGAATCAAATTAATTTCTTAAGAAGTTCTTTTTTTTGTCATCAAAATCCTTGATTGCTCTTTCAGTGTGTGACTTCCCACAAACCTAAAAAGGATGAAAAATTCAATACTGACTACCACTCTAGATTCACAAGAAAATCTTACAAATAGTTTTAATGGAAATGCATGTTTCTAGGCGATACACTAGATTTCCAGTATATATACTTATCATTCTGATGGTTATTCATTAGAAAGGTTTATGAAGTTCTCACCTATTTTTAACTTAAATGTTATACTTTAATTAATATCGCGATACATTTCATTACACACGTAATTAAATGCTTTTGCATTAATGATTAACTACTGTGTTATTTTTCAATTCATGTAGTATTGTTTATTGAATTAAAAATAACATTATAGAAGTTTAATCAATGCCAAGCATGCAACAATAATATCTAATTATCAGAAAATCGAGAAACACATATTTTTTATATGCACAAATTAGAATATCCTTTTGAATTAAAAAAATACATACAGTTTAAAAAATTTATACCACATACCTTAGAATGTTTCGATGGGGTTAAATTCTGCTGGTGAATGGCATGTAACCACTTTATGCCCATTGAACTTGATTTGAGATGAAGACAAATAAAAAGATATTGCTTTTCTGCAAGTGAAAACAAGTGGACTTTTTCAATATTTGGATAATTACCTCTGTAGTTAGGAACACTACAAATATAAATCATTCTTTAACAGATTATTACAAAATAAAATATTTTAAAATCTTTAATAAACGTTCATGGAATATATGAATCTTCCGCTGAAACTACACGTGGTGCTGAGAGATGGGTTTCGTCATTGTTGACGGTTTGTTTTGTCTACTATTTCCACAAGCGTCTAGCCCCTCAGACGCTAGTTTCCTCCTGGTTCCTCCCTGAACATCTGCGCAGGTTACTGCGCATGTCGTCATTTTCCTGAAGGCGCCTCGTATTTACTGTTATTTACTCTGCTCTTTGACTGCTGTGGTAGCGTGTGATCGCTGATACAGTTCTCTTTTTTTATTTTGCTTCGATTATTATATCTTCTGCACAAAATCAAGAAAAACTGCCCATTTCAGGGCCAAATACTTCTGTTTCCTCAGAAGGTGTTTTTTGATTCTAAATCGAATCAAAATCAGGAAGGAATAACCGTGTGCGATAATTCCAATTGTGGTATGTCTGATAATTCTGATTGTGTTGCGAGTGATATGGTTCATTGTGCAAATGATTTTAGTATAGCTGAGAGTGAATTTTGTTTGCTGTGATTGCTTAAAACTTTCAACTATAGATACAATTTGAAACGCCATGCATATAAATTTCATTACAATAATACTACATTAATTGAGTCTCTGAAAACTAAGTTCTAATAGTATGGTTGATTGTGCAAATAATTTTAGTGTGGCTGAGAGTAATTTTGTATGCTCTGATTGCTTAAAAACGTACCAAAATAAATGCAGTTTGAAACGCCATACCAACACATTACACTCTAATAATACTACATTATTTATTCTTTAAAAAGTGGTCGATCACCAAGCTACAAATGTGAGGACTGCTATCTGAAATTTAGTGACCTAAAAAATTGGAAATATCATCAAAATAAAATTCATACTTCTAACAGGTAATTATGTGTGTCCTGTATGTTATGCTAATTTTGAAAAGCGAGAAATAATATTTCATTTCAATAATGTTCATGATGTTGATTTGAATCATACTGAGCTGGAATTTAATTCATTTGATGATTTTTTGGCATAGAAGGCAGAAATTGAAAATAATACGAAGTCAAAATTTCTTATGGAGTAAGCATATTTAATATACATGGTGTAATGCCACTGTTCAGGAAATTTTATATCAGAAAGTAAAGGTTTGCGTCACTTAAAAATCCTTGATAGCAATAAAATAAATGCATATTGCCCAGCTGAATTAAAAGTAACAGAACATACAGATGGCAAATGTGTAGTGTCATATCAGAAAAATAGGGCCCACCAGCGGCCGAACGGTAAAGTCGCTGAACACTGGTAGTTCGGTCCGAGGTTCGAATCCCGCGAACGGACTGGCTGCATGGGCGTTTTTCGTGGTTTTTTCCATGTGTAACGTGTATACGAGCCAGTTTCCCTTAGAAAGTGCGGTGAAATCCTAGTATACGGTGCAGCCTTGGCGCGACTTTGAAAATTATCGCCAACACCAAAAATGATCCAAAGAACGTTTATATATATACTATACACACATACTATATATACTATATACATAGTATATACTATGTTTAACTGTATATTTTCTTTGAATGACCCGTTAACTACTCATCGTATATGTCCCGTTTTTACTGCTCATCATAAAGTCACCAAAAGTAGCCAAATCCCGTGTGCACCGGATACTAGGATTAAACCGAAAGTGCTCCACGAAGGCATCCCTCCCCTTAGGCAGATAGCCCTCAAGGCTTTGCCATAATCTCACACACACACACATATCAGAAAATACATATTGGGCATCGGAATGATTTAGGTCACTTATTTTTAACAACAGATGAAATAAAAAATATTGCATCAAAGATAGCAGCAAAAATTTCTCTGGATAATATTTTAGATGAAATTAGAAATTCTCTATGAGATGCTGGGCTTGAGAAGGTTCATTTACTTACAAAACAAGATTTACATAACATCAAAAAATCTTTCAATTTGTCTTCTAATTCTGTTAAACATGAAAATGATTAGGTTTGTGTAGATACGTGGGTACCTGAAATGCAAAATTCTGAACATCCATGCATTTCATTTTATAAAACCCAGGGATCAACATAGCATGAGTGAATATTGTACACAATATTCATTTCTAAAAGGAAATGATTTTGTTTTGATAATGATGACAGAAGCACAAAGAGAGATACTGAAAAAATTTAGTTCTGACTTGTATATGTATTGATGGTACACATGGGGTGAATGCATACAGATTTGAACTCGTAACTTTACTTACAATAGATGATTTGTGCCAAGGATTCCCGTGTGCATTTTTAATTTCTAATCCATGTGATCAGCCAGTGCTATCATTTTTTTTTTCATGTATTAAAGAAAATGTTGGGCAAATACAACCACAAATATTTATGTCTGAAATGGGTTTACTACAGAAACGTCTTTTTTGTGCATGGCATATTGATAGAGCCTGGACAAACAATTTTTAAAAAAAGAAAATCAATGGTGTTGAAAAACAGGCAAAAACATATAAAATTATTAGATCTCTCTTAGAAGAACAAGACATTCATACTTTTCATACACTGACAGAAGCAGCAATAAAATTACTTAAAGAAGATCCTGACACTATTGAATTTGTAAATTACTTTGAAACATATTATTTATAAAATACATCTAGCTGGGCATACTGTTATAGACTTCACAGTGGTGTTAACACAAACATGCACATCGAATGAATTCACCGAACATTAAAATATATTTATCTTCATGGAAAAAATGTTAAGAGATTGGATAACACTATACATGGTATTATGAGATTTGTAAGAGATAAAATGATTAACTGCTTAATTACAGCAAATAAAGTTAAATTAACAAGTAAGATTTGGGTTTTAAGAATCAGACATAAAACAAATGAAACACTATGTTTATAAGTAATAGAGAATGAGAATGGGTGGTCTGTTTCATCAACACATACAGAAATATACACTATACATAAAAGTAACAAAACTTGTACATGTCACATACAGTGCACTGTGTGTAATCTATGCATTCAATTATATATATGCAGCTGTATTGATTCATCAGTTTGTAGAGACATTAGGTATTTTTTTTGAAAGCAGGCAAGATGAAAAATATGCAACGCCTTCACCGGGAATCAAACCGCGGACCTCTGGATACATATCACACCATGAAGGCATGCCAAGAAGGTGGGAGAAATACTTTACCTAATCGCCAAATCCTGGGTGTGGAGAACAATCATCTAACACCCTTTTAGTTCGGGCACCACTGTACAGACATTAGAATTTTACATTGGAAGCAAGAGGGATTGAAAAATTAGCAATGCCTTCGCCGGGAATCGAACCACGGACCTCTGGAATATGCGCCCAGTGTGCAGACCACCACACCAAGAAGGCGGGAGAAATACCTTATAAGTTAGGTGGAGTATGTGCAAACACACTAGAAATACTGCTACT